TTGCTGATGGCAGGAACTGAATCTAAATTTAGATTGAAGCAACCACTGAGGCAGTTTAACAGCTACTTTTACAGTTGTCCCAGATTAAGTACTGGAGTAAGACAGTAGGTAGTTGGAAATGCATTTAGTGCTATTATCTTAGAAAAACTTTTTAGAATCCAGTGTGAATGCCTAATCCTACTTTAATTATCACATGAAGAATATATCCAGAATTCACTGTTGAAGGATTTTGCATTTTTGCATTTATATTTGTTAATTAAATATTTGGAGGCCAGTTTCTTGTTGTTGTTGATGTTCCTTTGAACTGCGCTTCAGATGATGTGGGCCTTCTGGGCACTCTCAATTTTGCAACTGGGCAGAACAGTCCACTGTTTGCCAAACAGGTATCAAGACATAACAAGCATCTCACATAGCATATAAAACATGGGGAAGCCTATATTGAAACAGCCCCAATAAGATAGTATCTTCAAGCCCAATTCAGGGAGAAGAAATAATTGTTGAAGAAGCTAAACTAAAAGCACATTCAGACAGGAGCCTCATAAACTCTGAATCGAAAGAAGTGTTTCAGGAGAAAAGACAAATCCCACCCAGTCATTTTCTACAACCCACTCCTTTTCTATCCACGCTACAAGATCCCAGGTGACTGCACAGTCTGCAGTGGTTTCTGCCAAGTCATGGGGGTTTGATAACTGGTTTGATGTGATCAACCCAGCTGGGATAAAGTCATTTCCCAGGGCCTTACTGCTCTTCAGGTTTCTAATTACCGTATTTTTCGCTCTATTGGACGCACCGGACCACAGGACGCACCTAGTTTTTAGAGGGGGAAATCAAGGAAAAAAATATTATTCCCCCCCCCAGCCCCAAAGAGCAACGGACAGGCTGCGCGCTTCCTCTTTAGCCTTGAGCAGCATCTTTTGCCTTGCACAACGGGATGGATCGTGCCCGCTGTCCACCAGGGCTGGACTAGATGACTCCTGGGGTTCCCTTCCAACCCTGCAATTCTGTGACCTCGGAAGTTGGTGGGGTCTCCACCACTGGAGGCTTTTAAGCAGCGGTTGGGGGACCATCTGCCTGGTGTTCTTTAGCTGTGATTCCTACATTGTGAGGGGGCTGGGCTAGATGACCCTCGAGTGGCCCTCCCAACTCTATACAGTCCTACACTTCTGCGGCAGGAGATCCACAGCCACTTCACACAATGCCCAATCCCAATTTTCATTGGAGAGACATGTGGCTTCACTGTCTAGGTAGGTACCCCCCTACCTGCCACTCTTTCCTCACCCCACTTAAGCCGAGGGAATTCCTGTCCAGAGAAGCTCCCAGGTGAGGCAAGGGTTAAGATCTACCTCTGGTAAATGGCTTTGTATCCTCCCTCTTTCCCTTTTCTCTTCTTCTTCTATGCTAGTTCCTTCTCTTGTGTTTTGTTTAATCTGTTTTTATTGTATACTAAAATAAAAGCTGCAAAGTTTCCTTTTTTATAATATTCCCCCCCCTCCAAACTAAAACGTTAATCTAGATAAAAACACTGATCCAGAGGAAAATAAGGGGGTGGAGAAAGGACGAAAAAAGAAAAAGAGGTAGAGATAGAGAGATTTTTAAAAAGTTGGCTTCTTTAGCCTTGTGCAGCCTCCCACGACTGGAGAGATTGCGCAAGACTTTTCTAGAGCAGGGAGAAGGGACTGTCTGGCCGCGTCAGTCCCTTCTCCCTCCTGGGGAAAAGCCCGCAAGAGCCGCGCGAAGCTTGTGTGTGGCTCTTGGGGGCTTTTCCCGCTTGCCTTCCCCCCTGCATTCACTCTATAGGACGCACAGACTTTCCCCCTTAGTTTTTAAGACGGAAAAACTGCGTCCTATGGTGCGAAAAATACGGTAATACACAGACTTCTTCTACCATAACTGGAGTAAAGTGGAAGTTTTGTCAGCTCTGCAGAGTAATCATCACAAATAGGGGAAATTGTCAGTAAATACTGTTTTAAAAAGGGACGCGGGTGGCGCTGTGGGTTAAAGCCTCAGTGTCTAGGACTTGCCAATCGAAAGGTCGGCGGTTCGAATCCCCGTGGCGGGGTGCGCTCCCGTCGTTCGGTCCCAGCACCTGCCAACCTAGCAGTTCGAAAGCACCCCCGGGTGCAAGTAGATAAATAGGGACCGCTTACCAGCGGGAAGGTAAACGGCGTTCCGTGTGCTGCGCTGGCTCGCCAGATGCAGCTTGTCACGCTGGCCACGTGACCCGGAAGTGTCTGCGGACAGCGCTGGCTCCCGGCCTATAGAGTGAGATGAGCGCACAACCCTAGAGTCTGGCAAGACTGACCCGTACCAGCAGGGGTACCTTTACCTTTACCTTACTGTTTTAAAATGGTTCTCCCATACTTGGGCTGGGAAAATGCAGCTAGGGTTCCAGGCAAAGTTCCTTTGGTCCCTACTTCAGGTTCCAAACTGTGTTCCTAATTCAATTCTATTTCTGAACACATGTGAATGCCCACTTTCCATCAAAGTGTGGTGGGCTCCCTTGAAATACTGATTAAAGATTTTGGTATTCAGCCTGGGAAAGGGACTACTGTGGCGGGAAGGTAAACAGTGTTTCTGTGTAATCTGGCTTCCGTCACCGTGTTTTGTTTGCCAGAAGTGGTTTGGTCCTGCTGGCCACGACCGGGAAAGCTGTCTGTGGACAAACGTTGGCTCCCTCGGCCTGAAAGTGAGATGAGCACCACAACCCCATAGTTGCCTGTGTCTGGACTTAACCGTCCAGGGGTCCTTTACCTTTTAAGTTTAACCAATGGAGTCAATCAGCTCATGGTCAAAAACTATGGTCTGAAAAGCCTTATCAAAATAGACTGTTTATGTTCTACTACACTGTGGGCTGTATGAACAAGACAGGGATCAGTTAATTAAATCCTTATGGGTAAATTTACCTAGAAATTCTGATATCTTCTGTCTCAAGTATCTTCTCAAAGGTAAGTCAAATGATATTACCCTGGCCGTGGCAAAATTTCTCTCGGAGGTAATAAGAAAAAGAAATCAACATGCTCTGGATAAAACATAGTGACTGCCTTAGAATCTTTTCCCTGTATCTGCTGCATTTTGCTTTCAAAGCTGTTTTTTGTGAGGTTTTGGACCACAATATATAATGTTCGTGCAATATAATGTTTTCTCCTTTAGCGGCGGAAAGCAAAATTGACTAGGAAGTTCAGTAGCAGTACCACCCCAAGGGGGGACCTTTGCCTGTGCCCGACAGAAGACAAATTGGGGGGAAAAAACCTTTCCCAAGAGGTGTGCTTCAACAGAAATAAAGCTGAGGCAGCAATGTGTCTGAATACCAGTAACTGTCAGGGGTCCTTTACCTTTTTTACCAGTTGTTGGAAACCACAGGAGGGGAGAGTGCTCTTGTGGTCAGATCTTGCTTGCTGGTTTCCCATGTGCAACTGGTCAGCAGCTGCAAAACAGGATACAGGCCTAGATAGGCCATTGGCCTGATCCAGCAGGTTCTTCTTAAAGTAGTTGCACCATGTTTTCAATCAACAGTGATGTTCTTACATGCCCTGAGAGTTGAGAGAATGACATGCAGTCCCTAATCTGCCTAGATTGCTTGGATTTAGATGAAGGACCTGTGGTCCTTCAGATGCTGATTGATGGACTGCAACACCCATAATCTCTGAACAGTGGCAATGCTGCCTGGGACTGCTGGAGCTGGGAGTACAATAAATTCTAGAAGTCACAGGTTCCCCACCTCTGCTTTAGAGACTGGAGTAAATTACCAGTAACAAGAACTCCCTTGTGTACTTGAGGCACAAGAGCTCTGCAAAGTCTACCTTGTGCCACTCCTTCAGGTTCTGAAATGCAGATGAAAAGGGGAAACGATCAGCTGATTCCATAGGTGAAGGTAATCTTAGGTAGAAATCGACTGCCTGGATTTGGGAGACTTCACCTTGACTGCCAGCATGGACTGCATCTTCAAGACATTATTTTTGGAACGCATCCCCTTTTAGAGTGAATTTTGAAAAATATTTTCTGCAATCCATAAAGTGGCAAAGCATTTGCTCAGACCCATTTTTATTTACGTGGACTTTTAAAAAAATTATCTTGTTCAGCTTTTTACCTTTGAAATGCTTAGATTATTTTAATAAATTATCTTTACTGCTACAAGGCTCTGCTACTAGAGGTTAATTCCACATTCTATCCCTACCCAAACTAGTTCTGGATCACGTTACTAGGGATTGAACCTATCATAAGTTTTTTAAAAACTGTTTTAGGCTTAATAATTATTGGGATACTATCTGGACCTTTAAAAAGTATACTGTATTGGTAACCCTAAGGCCTAAACTAAGAAGTAGGGGCAGCCTGTTGAGTTAGATGTGTTTTGTGTCCTTTTAAAATGGATTGGTGATCCCTGAATTTTAGGATGCATGCTTGCCTCAAGGCCTCTCACCATCAATTTGCAAATCCATGAACAGAATTCTTAGGCTTTGACCTAATATGTCCACCATGCCCACTGTAGTCCTTATGCCATTAGAAGTCAGAAACTGACCAAGCTTTGCTCCTTGGCTCTTAGTGCGCCCAGGGGATGTTCTCCCATCCATGATCCTTCTCCCCTCAGTAAGAAACGCAGGGTGAAGTTGGATTCTCGTTCTCTGTCCAAGAAGCATAAAGAATTGTTGATACTGCAGCCACTTGAGCCACAACCTTCCCCCTTCTCCCTATCTAATCAAGCAGATAAGGAAAAGTTGATCTCCGCTCTATGATTAATAAAGTTCCACCAACTAGAAAGGGCTTCCACAGGAAAGATGTAGACAGAACTCAATAATCTATTTCACACTATGAAAGTACTGTACTGTATTCCCATTCACAAAGAGCAGACTAAGCTCTACAGTACATTGTTTTTAAACTGATCCCACCACTTTGGGTTAGGTTGTGGGTAGGAATTGCCTCTTACAATATTTAAAATGCTTATAGTGGAATTTCACAAGATCAGAAGTACTTTTAAAACGTTTTTTGAATCAAGCACCAACAAATTCAGTCAAAGTTTTTATTCAGCATTAAGCTAAATACATTACACATTTTGGTGGAAGCTTAGAATTATGTTGAAAAGAACCAAGAACAAACTGACTTTAAATTTTAGACTGCAAAGCAACGGTTCACTAGTCATCTGAACAACTAATGTCATAATCCTTAAACGTTTTCTTCAGTATTGCCACAGTCATGGAATGATCAGCTTTACCATATGCCTGTAGGAAAGAAGAATGCACAAAATTATTACTCCTAAAGAGAAAATGTGTGTGCTAAAGATTCTTGCTAGAATTTCTTCAAATAATAGTAATAATAATAATTTATTATTTATACCCCGCCCATCTGGCTGGGCTTCCCCCCCCAAAATATTAAAATACTCTAATACACCAAACATTAAAAGCTTCCCTAAACAGGGCTGCCTTCAGATGTCTTCTAAAAGTCCGGTAGTAGTTGTTCTCTTTGACATCTGGTGGGAGGGCAGACAACATATGATTACCAATCTCATTTTTAATTTGTTTAATAAGTACCTAAGTGCACCACATCGTTTTTATCAATTGGGATCTTTTCTCTCTGTTCTCTACCCAAAAGGCCAGATTACTCCCCCCCCCCCATGATAGTAAGACATGCTTGGGAAACGAAAAGAAAAATGAGGGAGGAAAATCTCTCCTGTGCTTTCTCCAAGAGTAGTGGGGAAAACAAGTGCAGTAAGAATATATAACAGTTCCTACACCATCCTAAATCCGTATTAGGGCAATCAAAATTTAACAAAACCATTTGCAAGCTTTTAAGATCTCCAGAACTCTTCCTCATGCTAGATATTAAAGAGAGGTTTTTGTTGTTGTTGTTTTTGAAGCTCATTTAAAATTGTGGTAAGACTGGCTCTCCCTTGCATGTGAAAAGTCTGGACCTCTTATTAGCAACCTTTAAATAGCCAATATCGTTGTAGATGCTGGACTTCAGCAAACCAGTCTTGACAGATTCTGTGGCTCTTCTCACAGGTCATTTTACTAGCTTGTTTTAGGATGCTGTCACCTGCCCTGAGCTTTTGTAGCAACTTAATTAAAAAAATGTATTTTCATAGGGATTTATTTTGAAGAATTCGGTATTTTATTCATAAAGCTTTAAAATAATACAAGTAATTTCTTGTTTCCTGTAAAAGTATATTTCTTAGTGGATTATGAAATGACTGACATTCACATACTAAACAAATATTCAAGTTCTTTCAGTATTATGTAATTCGTAAAATTGTCTGCTTCTTCTCAGAGACCAATATGAAACACATTTTTGTGACATTATCATTAATTACTAACATATTTGCAAAGTGAATCGTCATATTTAGAAACTGGATGTATACAACACTTACTGGAGAAACACCAGATACATGGATTTTTTTGTCTCTGCTATTGTGCTCAATTTTTCCTCCTCCAAGACACTTGCACATACAGCCCATCTTTTCCATTTCAGAACATATCTTTTCATATATGTGATCTACAAAACAATGATAGTACTAAGAATACCTTATAAAAATAAAGGTGGAAATACCTGAAGTACAAAAATAATTATGCCTCATTTGAATGTTAGCATTTAATACGTTACAGCTGTACAGATTTGGAGCATTTTTAACATGGGTGGTTCAGGCCGAAAGACGTCAGGAATTATTACAAAGGTCGGTGCTCCTCATCTTTTCTTATTTAGCAATTGAGGGGAAAACCCCCACTAGAATAGAGAAATTCAGTGACTAGTTGTACTTGAGCCTGGGAGAACCGCATTATTGGATTTCACTGAATGGCCATGGGCAAGCGTACAGTATTTTATTCTCAGTCCATCTTCTGTAAAATGGCATTAGCAGTGACTTACTTCCTAGGATTATCAGAAGAATAAGGTATGGTTGTAAAGGACTTTTGAGTGATTCAAGTTGTGTGTTCAATATGGGATTAGTGCTACTCATGCGTTAAGATTTCCACAGTATCTCACTGTCAATACCATCAAAAGCCCAGTCTGTATCTCCCTCCCTCCCCAATTTCGTCCAAATCTACCCTTTCTAGGGGAAGGTTCAGTACATTAAACAAAACCTGTTATTTATGACCCAATTGTGATATTTCGCTGACCCATTTTTACAGCATTACACCCCTATCTAAAAGCACCTTTTCACTAAAAGCACCTTTTTATTGAACGTTCTGGAAGATTGAAATGTTTTCCTACTGGTTTCTCTGTCTTGTGATTCCTGATGTCAGATTGGAATCACAAGACAGAGAAACCAGTAGCACACTTCAATCTCCCAGGACATTCAGTACAAGATCACAGAGCAGCTGTCTTATTACAAAGGAATTTCAGAAATAGACGAGAGAAGTTGCTGAATTACAACTTATTACTAAACTATGGAGACCAGGTCTGAATAGAGATACTGGATTCTTGTCTCATTATACATGCTAAAGCTATTTTTTGTCATCTGCATACTATCCCTTGCTTTTTCCTATACCCACTGAGTCAATCACCCATCTCCTACTACTTCTGAAAAATACTCCACCCCACTATATACAAGGGTCTGGTGACTTCTGTTTCAGTGTATCTGAAGAAGTGTGCATGCACACAAAAGCTTATACACAGAACAAACTTAGTTGGTCTCTAAGGTGCTACTGGACAATTTTTTTATTTATTTCTACTGCTATATGTAATACGCTGGGCAGCTAAACAGGTGTATTCAGGCTGGCTCAAAATAAGGAAAAATATCGGGGGGTTCGGATGGTTCCCCACCCCCCTTTAAAAAAGCATTTTAGGAACATATAGGGGGTTGTGAAGGCATCTTAACACTTTCCTTTAGGGCAGGAGTTTCAAATTTTAATAATAGTTTATTATTTAAACCCCACCCATCTGGCTGGGTTTCCCTAACTTTATACCTGCATTAGTTCATACTCTTGTACGTGAACCATACATATGGCCTAGTATTTAAGTCTTCTAACTGGGACTACAAAGTTTATCATATTTCTATTTATTTTGGGATCTCTCCCCCGCCCTTAAAAGAAACAATCATACTTCCATTTTCTAGTGTTTGTAGTACCCCGCTGGACTCCAGTGCATCAAATTTCATTTTTCTAGGTGTCACAGAAGTCCTGAATTATCCCCAGCCAAGGTGCTGGCAAGTGTATTTATGCAAATCTTCAGCAAGCAGAAAGAAGCCCAGCCATGTTCCGTCTTCCCACAAGCGAGACAAAGCAACAGAACAAAAATTGCTGGGTGGCAACGCAGACACACATTTGCACTCTTCTTCCAACAGGCTTTGGGAAACTAACAGACTTTTATTTAAAGGGTGGACACCATGCCGTTTTTATTGTAATTATGTTTTGGGGGGTGGGGCAAAATAAAAGTTGTTGATCTTTTGGGGGGGGGAATGTCCCCACCGGGGGCATGGGCATAACCAGGATTTTTGCTAGGTGGGGCAGGCCTTTTATTGGGGGGCTCCAACCTGTTAGCTGTGCATTTTTATTGATATAAAAATCATTGGCTACGCCCATGTTACACAGGGGGGGGGGGCTCAGGCTTTCATTTGGGGGTCAGGCTTCTGCCAGGGCAGTGGTGGTGCAGAACCTCGTTAATTATTTTTTAGCACCCTTCAGTAATTTTTGAGGCTCAGGGGGGAGCCCATATTCAAATGGTTTAAATCAGACTTTCTCAACCTGTGGGTCCCCAGATGTTGTTGAACTACAACTCCCATCACCCCTAGCTAGCAAGGCCAGAGCTCAGGGATGATCAGTTGTAGTCCAACATCTGGGGACCCACATGTTGAGAACCAGTGGTTTAAATGGACGATATATCTGTTATCTGTGGGTGTGGTTTTTTTTAAATATATTGTCGCCACCTCCACCCCACCAAATGTTTCTGTATCTGTGTGGCTTTTTTTAACTCCCCCCCCCCCCACAATTTCTAGCTGTTATTTTTATCGGTGGTTTTTAGAAATCAGCATAGGCAACCTTTGGCCCTCCAGATGTTTTGGCCTACAACTCCCATGATCCCTAGCTAACAGGAGCAGTGGTCAGGGATGGTGGGAGTTGTAGTCCAAAACATCTGGAGGGCCGAAGGTCGCCTATGCCTGTTTTAAATGATTGTCGTTGTTCCCCACCTCTCCCTCCCTGCCCAGTTTCTGTTGTTACTTTTTTGCTTTAAAAAATGGTTCTTCCCCCCCAAAAAAATGTTTCTCGCTATTATTTTATCTGTGGGATTTTTTTAATCATTTCCCCTCCCCCGCCGCCAAATGTTTCTAGCTATTTTTATCTGTGGCTTTTTTATGATTTCCCCTTCCCGACCCCCGCCAAATGTTTCTAGCTGTTATTATTTTATTCTTAAAGAGTCCCTATAACAATTCGCAAAGTGGTGGATTGAGCGAGAAACGCTTATGTCTTATTTCCCAATTTGTGAGCCGCCTGGCCGGGGGGGGGGGTTGCGAAGGCGGCATGTAAAATCTCATCTCTCACTGTGCAACTCGGCGGAAGCGGTCCCCCTCACGATGTCTCTGCACTCGCCGCCACGGCTTGGGCTGCCGCCGCCGCGGCTTGGGCTGCCAATGCGGCCTGGGCTGCAGCCTTGTTGGCCACCACTTTGGCCACCGCCTTGGCCGCTGCCTCCGCGCTGCACCCGCACCAGGATGTACTTGAAACAGCCGTCGGAGTCGATCTCCACCTCGGCCAACTCGCCCGCAAAGCAGCCTGATTTAGGCGGCGACGACGACGCCATGGCCCAGCTCTGCCCAAAGGGAGAGTAGCGCAGGATACCTCCCGCCCCCCACTAGCCCCGCTTGCGCGCAGAGAGAAAATGACGAGCGAGGTGAAAACGGCGCCTCTCTTTCCCTCACTCCCCTCAGGAATAGCCTCGCTCGGAACGGAGACAAACGGCCCTCGCAGAACGGCGAGCGCTCATTGGCTCACGCCTTACCGCGCGAGGCCCTGGTTGGACAGAAAGCGCGCGAAGGGCCGTTAGAAAGATTCGAGTAACGGTCGGCGCGTCTGTGGCGGTTTTTTTTGGCGCGCTCGCGCGCGTGGTTGCCGTTGGCGCGTTGGTTTTCTTTTGCTTTTTTTGTCATTTTTGAAAAAGAAATTCTCTATTAAAAAAAAAATATATTAGTTTTTACAGATTTTGACAGTTTACAAACAATTACCAAACAACCAAAATAAAAAGAATCTCGAAGAATTTCCTGAACTTCCCTCCTGCCCTTTGTGGGTCTTTATATTAACCTTTCCCTCATGCATCTTGTCTGTTCATCCAAATCTTTTAAAAGGCCAAACGCAAAAAAAATAAACTACAAGTGTCATTCGAATCCTAATAATTTCAAGAATCAGAAGAAAGATTCTTCTCACTCTTCTTCAACATTACACTACAAATATAATTCCATTTCAACTAATACTTTCAATTGTTTGCAATGGTTTTTAAGGTAAATTATACATTTTCCCCATTCCTTATTGAAATTTTGGTCTAAAAAAATTATACTTTTCAAGTTTATACATTTCACTAATTTTATAATCATTATGACATTTCAAAACTTGACTTCCTTCCCCCACTTTCTGTGGTTCCTTAAATTTATTTTAAATATCTTCTGCATATCCAAATTAACTTAATTTGTTCATTTATTCGTCTTCTTTAAATATATACTCTTAGGAAACAGCAGGTTATTACAATAATCCTGCCAATGTTTTTATCTGCTTACAATTTATCTGTAAATAGTCAATAAACCATTTCCACTTTGTTAAAAAAAATGTTATTTTGATTTCTTATTCTCCCAGTAAGTTTCACCATTTCTGCATATTCTATAAGTTTTTGTATCCATTCTTCCTTTGCTGGGACTTTTTCCCATTTTTTTGTCTTCCTGGTTTCTGATCCTTCTGGTCATTTTTTGACAAATTGGCATAGTCCATCAACTTTGAATCTGCCATTCTTCACTGAAGAAGAATGATTTTGTTTTGCTTTGCTTTGTTTTGTTTTTTGACACTGCAAGCTGCCTTGTGGTCTTTGGGTGAAGGGTGGCGTATAAGACAAATAAATAAATGCAGGAATGAATGAATAAGCAAGCTCCCAGAACACGTTACCTATTCGAGTATCCTATTCAGTGTGGCACATTTATTTACCTCAGAATAAATAGTGCTTAGGGCTTAAAATAAGTAAATGAAGGAATGGCTTCCTTCCCCCAAATTTTGAAAGTTTTGCAGCATAATGTTCCAGAGACCGTAAACACCATTAAAAACACACACACACAAACACAAAAAATGACCTGAGGCTTGATGCAATTCTGAAGTTGGTTCCTAGTTCACAGATCCTTTTCAGCAAAAAAATCCTGAATATCAAACTGAAGTTTCCACACTTTTGCTCCCCAAAACAGACCCTCCAAGTGCCCCTATTTCCCAGGGACAGTCCTGGATTTAGAGAAGCCATCCCGGCTTCTGATTTGACTCCGGAATGTCCCACTTTTCCTTAGGATGTCCTTATTTTCATCAGATAAATGTGGTGGTGGTGTTATCTGCCTCTCAAGCCATCTGAAGGCAATCCTGTATTGGGAATTTTTTTTAAAAAAATGTTTCATGTTTTATTATGTTTTTATATATGTTGGAAGCTGCCCAGAGTGGCTGGGGCAACCCAGTAAGATGTGTGGGGTATAAACAGTAAAAATATCATGATAGAATGGGATATCTCTATTTTCAACAGAGAAATGTTGGAGGGTATGCCAAGATAACTTTGAGGACATCCCAAATCATACATCCCTACCATCAGAAAAACTCTCCTTTGAAATGCCCATAGCATTTTGTCAAGTCCTTATGGTAGGTTGAAAAGGGAACCCTTTTTCTATGAAGGGCCATAAACCCATAAGGAAAGTCACCCAAGGGCCAGAGTCATGGTGGGTGGAATTGCAGTGAGAGAGAGAAAGAGGTGGGAGATCCTGAGAAGAGAACAAGGGTGGAAGGTGGTGAGCAGGAGAAAAGGAAGTAAAGTTCACTCATAAACAGGACTGGTCTGGTCATTAATGCTCATAGAGCACAATCTTCTATGGGCTAGTGTGTTTATGGTTTTGGGTGGCCCAAGACTGATGTGCAAGGCTTCAGTTCTCGTTTTATTAGTGTATGACTTAGGTGCCTTATGTCCGAGGGTGATGGAACATAAAAACAAAACTTTGAACCGGACACAGTGCTACAGCTCCTAAAAAATAGTCTTCCAGAAGGAGGGTTATAGGATTTGGGTGGTCCAAAATTTATGCTTTAGTATACAGTGGTACCTCGGGTTACAGACGCTTCTGGTTACAGACTCTGCTAACCCAGAAATAGTATCTCGGGTTAAGAACTTTGCTTCAGGATGAGAACAGAAATCACTCGCCAGTGGCGCAGCGGCAGCAGGAGGCCCCATTAGCTAAAGTGGTGTCTCAGGTTAAGAACAGTTTCAGGTTATGAATGGACCTCCGGAACAAATTAAGTTCTTAACCTGAGGTACCACTGTAGTAATGTGTAGGGATGCGGGTGGCACTCTGGTGTAAACCACTGAGCCTTGGGCTTGCCGATCAGAAGGTCAGTGGTTCGAATCCCCGCGACGGGGTGAGCTCCCGTTGCTCAGTCCCAGCTCCTGCCAACCTAGCAGTTCGAAAGCACATCAAAGTACAGGTAGATAAATAGGTACCACTCCGGCGGGAAGGTAAACGGCATTTCTGTGCGCTGCTCTGGTTTCGCCAGCAGCAGCTTAGTCATACTGGCCACATGACCCGGAAAAACTGCGGACAAAAACCGGCTCCCTCGGCCAGTAAAGTGAGATGAGTGCCGCAACCCCAGAGTCGTTCGCGACTGGTCTTAACTGTCAGGGGTACTTTACATTTTTATAGTAATCTGTAAACAGTTACTTCCTTGCTTAGGTTGCTTCTAAACCTCTGGCTTGATGGATAGTCTCATAACCTATGACAAAGTGGATAGATGGAGGCATTTCAAATGATAGCTGGCTTTGCACCAATGAATAATTCCCCTCTTCAAGAAAAATTATGAGCAAACCATTTGTGGGCAATTTTATATCTCTGTTCTGTTGCCCAAGTAGTCTGAAATATATGCGGATATGGGTATGGGAAGTACATCTGGTACCAGAAAGATAAGATGGTTTTAGAAATCAGCATTCCAAGCATGCAAACTGTCTATAGATAGTTAATATTTAGTCACTGGCTTGCATTTCTAGAGGCATTGTTCTTTTGTTCATTACGCCCAAGAGACTTCTTATTTGCTCAACAGGACATCTAATGGAACGTTTCTTCAAAGAAAAGGAAGTGCTAATGGCTCATATACGGGACAGCACTTCAGCTGATTGTTCAGTGACTAAGGGCCAATCTGCAGAGAAACTTCTCAAAGGTGCCCACTTATGGCTCACAAGGCATGCGCGCGCGCACACACACACAGAGGAGTTGTAAAATTGAATTTCTACTTTTAGCTATTTCACTGCCTAAGTGAAATGTGGGACGCGGGTGGCGCTGTGGGTAAAAGCCTCAGCGCCTAGGGCTTGCCGATCGAAAGGTCGGCGGTTCGAATCCCCGCGGCGGGGTGCGCTCCCGTTGTTCGGTCCCAGCGCCTGCCAACCTAGCAGTTCGAAAGCACCCTCAGGTGCAAGTAGATAAATAGGGACCGCTTACTGGCGGGAAGGTAAACGGCGTTTCCGTGTCACGCTGGCCACGTGACCCGGAAAGTGTCTCCGGACAGCGCTGGCCCCCGGCCTCTTGAGTGAGATGGGCGCACAACCCTAGAGTCTGTCAAGACTGGCCCGTACGGGCAGGGGTACCTTTACCTTTACCTTTTTAAGTGAAATGTGCGTTTAAACAGCATTGGTTTTCTTTGCTCTGGGGTTACAACAGCAGAGGCTGCAGCGAAAGGACAAGGAGTACAATAAGGACTTTTTATATTGTAAACCACACTGATCTTCAGATGCAGGGCGGTATAGAAATTTAATTAATAATAATAAAACACATTCCTTAGAATCTGGGGCTGAGAGGACAAGCTTACACTCCCAAAACAAACATTTCTGGCACCAGGGCCCTCTTGGAGCCACACTGTTGGTTGGAGGGACTCAAAACCTCCAACTATGTATATAGGCTACACAATACCCTAGAACTAACTTTTAGAAAATTCATATAAGAATTTCATTAAATGTATGTTCTTTGATATATAATTCATATAGGGGGACTTCCAGTGAAAAAGGGTGGGGCACCTGGAACTTTTTCTTTGTGATGTAAGGAAGCCTATTTGTTTTTATACACTCAAAATCCAGATTCCAATTAATAAGTGTTATTATTGTTAAGAAAAAGGGATGAGAGAGAAAGGTGGGTATAAATGAAAAAGAAATCCAATAGTTTACTTGCCTACATAACCTGTACTAGACACTCTTGCAGAGAGATTCAAAATCTTATGTGCAAAATGCATGGATCACCCAATGACAAAGCTGATAAAAAGGATGATTTAAAAAAAAAAAAAACCATAGGGAAAGGCCCATCTTTTATCTTGTAAGGTCAAAGGAGGAGGGGTTGACAGGCAGAAGAGAATCCATCAGTCAGGTGTAGCCATAGGCCTCGACAGTATCCTTGGAAGTAAATTGGTATGGGGTTGTGTGGAAATGAGATATTAGCACTTTCTCAGCACTTCCCATAAATACATCAGAGGTGGCCTACTTAGACCTGGGGGGAAACTGGGCAGCTAAGATGAGCCATGGGGGGGGGGTTTCCTCTTTACACCTGGTAGCAGTGGCGTAGCGTGGGGGGTGCAGGGGGTGCTGGCCGCACCGGGCGCAACATCTGGGGTTAGGGCAAATCCACGGGTTAGGGGGTGCAAATCCACGGGTTAGGGGGCGCAAATTAATTGCCTTGCCCCGGGTG